ATGGGTTGGAGGTGAAGTTCAAAGGGAGCTTGTCTCTTCCTCAAGATGAACCATTCATGCCATCTGTTCTCAGTTGCTCTGAACTGAGGAAAATTGATCTGCCCTTGTTTTGTTGCCTCTTCCTTGTTTGAATCCAAGATTTTTCAGTGATGACAGTTTCCAAAATGGTTTAATCCATGTCAGAAGCACTCCGGGTGGGAGTGAGGACTACTAAAAACCACTGCCTGATGAGGCTCATATTTGAGCAATTCTGTGATGTGGTTATCATTGAAAATGGTCACGTGTTTAGCATTAGAGAGTTAAAACAGGTGCAGAGAAGGTTTATGAATGAAGGGGTAAAGGTTAAAAGCAAAAAAAACCACACAACACTAAAAAAAACCCAGTTATTCTATTTAATGCTCTCTCCTTTTACCACAAAAAAGTTGAAAAAAAAAAAAGGTATTTTTTTAAAAAAACTTCCCTTTGTACAGCACTACTGTTCTGGTAATAAATTTCCATAAGCTAAATGAAAAGGTCTCACTTTCGATTGAGCCTCACAGTCAAACTAAGAAGAAAACACATTTAAAACTCCTAGTTAACAGCAAGCACATGGTGACTGTGAAATACTTTCTATAGCCTTTCAAGTTAAAAATAGCCCAAGTACAGTACCATTAGCAACAGGGACTGGATCTCCCTCTGTTTGGTCTGCAGGAGACTGAAATTTTTACAGAATCACTTGTTGAGTGTTTTACAGAGGCTCTTAGTATGAATTCTTCCTATTTGCCTTAGTTTACAATTTTACCCAGCTGGCAACAGTGAGCTTCTGATTGGGGGGGGGGAAGAGGAGGAGCAATTCCACCTCTAATGAAATCCTGTGTCACCATGCCCTGGCACAACTGGTTGAACACAGACAATCCAAAAGACTAGGCAAAGCAAGACACGAAAAGCGACATTTACACATGCCTGCTCAGCATGATTGGTTAAGTAAACCTCGTCGGATATCAAGATGAACTTGTAGTTGTTGATAGGAAGCAGCTTTTCAGATTCATTTCCTCATTAATCATGGAAGTGTTGCCACCAAATCTTGCTCTTCCTCATGTCTAAGCCAAAGAGGTCTTTCTACATATATATAGTCTTTAAGGTTAGCCCTCATGTACAAAAAAGGGTAAGACATTTCTAAGTTTTATTGTTCTTATAACATCTGCAATATCAAAGGAGGGAGACTGACTGATTGCAGAGGATAGCTTTATTCTTTCCAAATCTGACAGAGTACATCTACTATCCTGCATGGCTATTTCAGGATACCAAAGGTATCCCGAACTAGTTACCCAGTGTCTACACAAGCCCCCTGTTAGTTTGAAATATTTTTCTAAGTAATGGGTGCACTATTTCACCATCCTGGTAAACCTCATTGCATGAGGAATAAGATATGGCTCGAAATAGCGAATTTTGAAATTTGGCCCTGTGTTGATGGGCCAAATTTCAAAATAGATTTGAAATAAGATACACAATTTGTGCTATGCAAATTGTGTATCTTATTTCGAGGTTAGGGTGCTATGTAGACACACCCCTAAGCAATTTGGAGGTGTACGCAGTTCTAAGTACAGTAAAACTCCGATGGTCCGGCATCTGACGGTCCAGCACTCCTTATGGTCCGGCACCATCAGGAACCCGAAAGTGCTCCGGGCAGCCGGACCATTGGAGCTGCTCTGCCCCCAGCTTCCCCTATTCAGCCACTGCTAAAACTGCCCAGCAGCTGAATCGGGGAAGCCGGAGGCAGAGCAGCTGGGGCGCTGCTGGGTAGGTCCCCTAGCGCTGCCCCTTGGGGCTGCAGGACCAACCGGGCAGCACCCCAGGTGTCCCTGATTCAGCCGCTGCTGAAACTGACCAGCGGCTGATTCCAGGAAGCCCGGGGCAGAGCAGCTCTGCCTCGGGCTTCCTGTAGTCAACCGCTGGTCAGTTTCAGCAGCGGCAGAATCAGGACGCCTGGGGTAGAGCAGCTGAGGTGCTGCCAGGTTGGTCCCCGCAGCGCCGAGCTGAGGCGCTGCGGGGACCAACCTGGCAGCACCTCAGCTGCTCTACCCCAGGTGTCCCCAAGTCAGCTGCTGCTGAAACTGATCAGCGGCTGATTCCAGGAAGCCCGGGGCAGAGCAGCTCTGCCTCGGGCTTCCTGTAGTCAACCGCTGGTCAGTTTCAGCAGCGGCAGAATCAGGACGCCTGGGGTAGAGCAGCTGAGGTGCTGCCAGGTTGGTCCCCGCAGCGCCGAGCTGAGGCGCTGCGGGGACCAACCTGGCAGCACCTCAGCTGCTCTACCCCAGGCGTCCTGATTCTGCCGCTGCTGAAACTGACCAGCGGCTGATTCCAGGAATGAGCTTGCTATAAAATACAAGGTATTTGGTTTATATAGTCAGTCTTTACACCAGGAATTCCAGAGCCCAGAGTAGAGTGATATTTTATAAGCTCAAAATAAATCAATAAAATATAACACCATCAACAGAACTATTAAGATTTCTTGAGACAAGCAGAATTTGGCCTGTTAAAGTAAAATAAACACAATATGATTTTTAAAAGGGGGATGAGAAACATTTTATAAGAAAAAAGTCTTGAAAGTACAAATGTGCAGATTTTTATAATTTAATTGAAAACTTTCACATTTACAAAGGAATGTATTTTAGTCAGACGAAAGTGGTGTTCCAAGATTTGAATAAATTGCTTTAAAAAAATGTATATGCAGAAGAGGTTTATTGTTCATTCTTCTAGTCATATAATAATGACCGTTCTACTTGATGGTTTATAAGGAGCACTACTGCATGGGAGATTGCAGGAAGAAAAATCACACAGGAAAAAAAAAAGCCCCTTATGAGATTATTTAGCAAAACAGTCAATTGGGGAGGGGGCAGGATGTTTACAGGATACTTTTCAAGCTACACATCAACTCGCACCGTCTTTGCAAACTTCTGAGAATCCACAGAAAATAAAAGAAATTCATGTAGTGTGCATGAGCAAGCGCGCACACACACACACACACACACACACACACACAATGTAAAAACAAAAACCTAGGGTGTGGAAACACAAAACTGAGAAAAAAAATCAAAATGAATCTTCAATATCATAAAGGAACAGATTCACGGCTTTCTCTCTCTTACAGTGCTCAAAAGTGGTAGCTTCAAGATGTTTACTCCAGTACCAGAATATCATCTTCTAAAGCAAAGATCTCATTACATGCAAGACAGAATCAAAAGTGATCATTTCTCTTAATTATTCACATTAAATATTCTAAAGAAAAAATTATCGAACAGCACACAACAACAAATGTCCAAAAATAATATGGAATCCAAACTGAAGTAAAAAACTGGTGGATCTAACACGTTCAAACTACTTTATAATATTTTGTTTTTCCCTTTGACAATAATTTAAATAGGCCTGGATGCAAAACATACAGGAGAAAAACTGTATTTACACTAGCTAAGGTTCTAGACGTCAATGGTTAACAATTCATTATAGTATCATTAAGAATAACATTGTCCAAGGGATGGGGTTTTCTGTTGGGCCAGTAGGACATGTACATAGTAGAGTTCTTTTCAGGGTTTGGTGAATGGGGACAGATAGGGCACGTCTACACTGGCAAATTACTTCAAAATAACTCAATTTGAAATAACTCCCGAAATAACAAAACCATAATAGGGTGTCCTCACTACAAGGGAGCCTTGAAATTAGTTCAAGGCAGGCTCCACTACTGTGAACGCAGTACCTCAACTTAGACCCCCTGGAAGCACTGGAGAATAATTACTTTGAATTATGCTGGGGAGTAGTTATTTCGAAATAGCAGCAGCATCCACGTTAAAACTATTTCAAAAGAACTATTTCAAAATAAGTGTTATACCCCGACGAAAGCAGGGGTACAGATTTCAAAATAACCAGCCTGTTATTTCAAAACAATGGGCTTGGTAGTGTGGACACTACACTTATTATTTCAAAATAAGGGGGGTTATTTCGAAATAACTCCTTAGCGTAGACAAGGGCATAGAACGTAAGCTTTCCTGGGCACACAGGAAAGGCATGAAAAGGGAGAACAGGTACAGGTAACTGTGACCCAACCAGCTCTTGATGGCAACTGGCAGATGGAACAGAATCTATTACATTGATGTGTACATTCTAGTTCACCAAAGTGTGTCACATAAAATTTCTCCTCAAAGCCTCTGTCATAGTAGTTATCAAAGATTTTGAGAAATGTATGCATGGATAATATGTAAGGATATATAGATACAGGTATAAATACAGATATAGATGAGGAAACTGTGTTCTGAAGACCTTGTAGTTAAAGGAAGGTCATGCACAGATGGCATGCCTTGAGACAGACTCCAACAGGGCGGGAGGCAGGAGACACCTCAAAAACAATTTGCATTCTGAATCAAATGCTAATAAAGAAATTGAGGGGAACTTAAGGAAAATTAAAGGGAAGACATACGCAGCAGAGGGACAACTCTGTTTTATAAATGAAAAATAAAGGACTGTTTTGATATATCTCCGGTGCAGAAAGATGCTTTGGCATCCTTGATTCTATCCTTCATATGGGAATGCAAGTTACCAGTGAGCTAATCTCACAGAGAGAGTCTTAGCCATTGTGGCTGAAAAATGCTGAGAGAAAGACTTTGGAGCAATCGGCATCTTATTAGACAAGAGCACATCTTGTTACTTGAGTTTGGGCTCTAAAATGTAAAATAAATGATGTGTTTAGCACAAACTCAGTAACCTTGAAGTATATTATCTTAAGCAAGATTTTCAGCATATCCATAGTCACACAGCATATCCATAGTGTGTGTGTCTCTCTCACACACACACACACACACACACACACACACACACACACACACACACACACACACACACACACAGTTTTTACCATACATCCTCCCTTCTAAGAAAGAAGAGACATTCCTGATCAAATCATCACTTATTTCACTAGAATGAATTTTTCAGGGAAGTCTAAAGATCCAGATACTTGAAAAATACCTTACCTCTTTTTCATGCATGCGAAACAGTGATTGTTCATCACGAAAAGTGCTAATTTTTCCCAAGCTCATTTTGGGTGTCATCTATTGAACGAGAAAGATCATATTTAAAGTTCAAAGCACTACCTTGAGGAGTAATTCTTAAGTGGAAAAAACATAAGAGGTAACTCAGTCTACCTCCATAAATTATCAAGGGAATATAGCACCTACCAAAGACAGAGGTATGGGCTTCTCTCGCAAATACCTTGGATTTTCCAGCTGGAAAACAAAACATTATAAAATAGCAGCTTACTGATCATGTGACAATTTTTCATCATTATTTCTTATAAAAAATTAAGACCAATATTTGAAAAGTAGATATAAATGCAAATATACTATGTTAGTTTCAGTGGAGTTTCCACTGGTTAAACAGGATTAAAATTCAACCTCATGTTTTTTTCCAAAAAAATATAATTGGGTACAATATGACTACACAAATAAACGATCATGCACAGAACTCATGGTAAAAAGAAAAAATTAGTAAAAGTACTGTTTAATTACAATAAGGGACTAAGAATTGCATTTGAAACACTGCACAAACCACTTCCTCCATCAGAAAGCTATATCTCACTTAATTTTCTCTAATTATGAGATTCAAACAACACAACACATCACACAGAATGCATAGCATTCAGGAAATGCTTTCAAGAATATAATCAGTAAAATGTGATATGAAGATTTAGAATGAAAATGTGATTGCAATACACATCTTATAACATTAAGTCCTTTATTTTTAGAGAAAATTAAACTGATATATCAGTCATGAAAAACATGAAATATATCAAGAGTACTTGCCACACTTCTGAATTTGTAAATGAAAGAAGGAAGCTTAATCTCTCTGAAATTTCAATATGACACAGTATTCTTCATTTCCTGTCCTAAAATATTATGTTGTAGTTGTAAGTGCAGCTGAAAAGATGTTATATATCACCCCAAAGGTGACTATACTTCAAAGATGTGCAAGGTCAGCATATTGTATACACATAGTACCGTTTTTTACCATTCTAGGTTCCATTTGGAGGAAAGGTACTATAAACATTCAAGATCATTATAGCCAAACTAAGAGTTTAAAACACTATAGCCTTTTTCTAAATAACCCATCACTATTTACCTTGCACGATTTTAATATTGTAGACCAACAAGATCTTCTTTTAAACAAAGTTTCCTATATTATTTAATGTGCATCACCATATTTAAAAAAAATCCAAGTTTGTCTTTTTACAACTACATCATCCACTTATAAAAATAATGGGGAACACTATTTCCTTGCTGTCCATTTTAATCATAAAAACTGTGATTGTATAAGTGCAGCAAGGGCTTTCCAAAAATATTCTTGCATAATGAAATTGAAGGGACACTATCATCTTAAAAACGATCAAGTCCACTGCTGAGTCACACTGAGTTGTCAACAGATTTGAGCAGACAAAGGTGACCAAAAGGGATGGAAGGAAAGGAGATGAAGGAAATATATTAGTGTGGTAGAGAGAGTGAGGGGAAAACAAAGGAAAAATAAAAGGAAATAAGGAGTAGATTGAAGGAGGAGGAGAAACAAAAAAGTGCAAGCAACAAGATAATAAAAAGAAAATCTAATTAATGGAGCAGGAAAGAGACAAAAGCTGCAGCTCCAACAACAAATCCTGCAGCCAGAATTCTCTATTAATGTAACGTCCATACCCATAACCTCACTCTCCACCAACATGGATCTAGGATTGAGCAGAGAGCCCTCCATAGATTCCAAGGGATAAGACACTCTTTGGCCCCATTGCTATTTTCTTGGGACTGAACCTGTATATTCGAAGTGTCTATTAACCTCAAGGAGAGTTATGAGAAAACTAGGAATGCAGGATCAGGATTCAAGGGTATAAATGCTTTTTAAATGTCCCAGACATTTCACATAAATTGTATACAATTTCTTAGCTTTTTCAGGTAAAAGTTGCTAACGATTTATAACCAAGCTAGTTAATATATTTGGGCATGAAATGCAAACATGTTCATCCTTGCTTAACTTCAGCACTACTTAGTTTTTCAAAAGTATATGCTAAGAATGTGTCTACACTGTACTGTTATTTCAAGATAACTAGCATTATTGTGAAATAATACGAGCATCTACACAGCCATTCCGACAGACGGCTTATTCCAAAATCTGTACACCTCATTCTACGAGGAATAATGGCTATTCCGAAATAGCTATTTCGAAATAAGGCATGCGTAGATGCTCCACTGCTGCTACTTTGAAATAGCCCCTCGCCAGGGTCATTCTAAGTTATTCTTCTCCTGTACCTTCTAGTGCTCTAAATTGAGATAGCATGTCTACATTAGGGAAGCCTGCCTCGGACTAATTTTGAGGCTTCCCTGCAGTGTAGACGTGCTATTTTGAAATAAGCAATTTCAGAATAACTATTTTGAAATAGCTTATTTCCAAATAAGCGTGCAGTGTAGACATACCCTAACTATATATAGAAATGGGTATCAGGAAGGCGGGAGGGGGAATGTGGCGCTAATACATTCTATGACCTAAGTCTTACCATTTCTTGATTTTGTAACAGCCACCAGATGTGCTTTGAAGTTAAATGTTCCCACTTTGTTATTTGTTGTGGATTATATCCACTTAAAATGATCTGTAAACATTTAATGTCTTAACATTCATTCCTTTCATGCTAGTATTCTGCAAAACTTCTTGTTCCCAATATTATACCACATTAAAGGAGGAATATCAAAATAAAGAGTGCCCCAAAAAGAAAACAAAAAACCCGTGTATTTGTGAGAAACATGCACATTTAAAAATAAGTAAAAAAGGTCAAAAACAAATCAAAATACATATTTATGATATAGAAGGTTTGTCATGTGTGAAGTAGTAAAATCATGACTGCAAGTTTGAGTATATAGTAAATGCCATAATAAAATAGATCTTTGACCCATAGTTGAGTTCTCATTTGCAAATGCCCTTTGTTAGTACAAATTAACTTTTCAAACTTTTTTTTGTAGAAAAGAATTTGAAATCTTTTACTCTGTTCATTTGTCAGTTGAACAATTATACAGGCAACAGATCACATTTAATTTTCTGAGGGTTGGTATGGTCACTTTAAAGCACTTGAGCCAACAGAGCGGAGCAGGCATAATGGAGGAATTCAACAGCATGAAGGAGACTTCCCCCCAAAAGCAAGGAAGAAGCAGGAGAGGAAATGTAATTTTGAGTGTCAACTCCTTCCCCACGGCTTTTTCTGGGTAGGCACAGCTGCACAACTTTCCTTAACCGAAGTTTAGCATGAGGCTCAATCTAACTCTGAAACAAGTATGCTAAAACAGAGCACTACTCCAAATTTCTCCACTTTATCTCTTTTCTGTAAGGTTTACTGTGAAGCCATCCTATTCCATGTTCATCCTATCTTTCCGGTTCATCAATATGTCAATATGGAGGACACATGTTTTCTCTAAGCTGCTTAGCAGCAGAGCTTCACAGGTGATGAATCAATCCCACCCAGTCAGAGAGTCAGGGCTCCATGCATGAAGCTGACTGACTGGGTGGGGCCAATCAATCAACTGTGAAGCTATGCTCCCACACAGCTTAGAGGGAACCCTCTTGAGGACTGTGCTTGCTTTGGTGATTCTGTCTCTTTGCTTCTCATAAAACCAAACAGAAATCTCATTCCAGGCACATCCCATTTTCCTGACACAACAAAACCCTTACCTTGCTTCAAGTTCTCATCAGAGGAAGTTGTATACCGAAACTGCTGGTCCTAGCTCTTACCATTTAGGTAAACTTCTTGATCAGACAGGCAAACAGACAAGCTCTCTAAAATATATAGTGGATAACAACCAGAGTCTCTATTCCTTTTAAATACAGGCAGTCCCTGACTTACGCGGATCTGACTTATGTCGGATCCGCACTTACGAACGGGGCTTTTCTTGCCCCGGAGCTCACGGGCGGCGGGACCGCCCAGAGCGCAGCGGTCCCGCCACCGCGTCCTCCGGGGCGAGAAAAGCTACTCCGGGTCTCCCTGGTGTGCTTGGGGGGACTCCCCAGCACAGCAGGGAGACCTGAGCAAAGCCGCACAGGCGGCGGACCCCGCTGCCCGTGCGGCTTTGCTCCTTTGCCCCGGAGCAAAGCCGCAGAGGCGGCGGGACCTCTGCACCTCTGCGGCTTTGCTCGGGTCTCCCTGGTCTGCTGGGGGGGGGAGGGGGCGCAGCTAGTGCTCTCAGCGGGACCTCTGCGCCTCCACAGCTTTGCTTGGGTCTCCCTGGTCTGCTGGGGGGGAGGGGGCGCAGCTAGTGCACCCCTCCCCCCCAGCAGACCAGGCTTTTGTTGTGGGACACCTAGGGTAGAGCAGCTGGGGTGCTGCCGGGTTGGTCCTGCCGGGACCTACCCGGCAGCGTCCCAGCTGTTCTGTCCCAGATTCAGCCGCCAGGGGCAGAGCAACTCTGCCTAGGGCTTCCTGTAGTCAGCCGCTGATCAGTTTCAGCAGCGGCTGAATCTGGAGCCAGTTCCGACTTACATACAAATTCAACTTAAGAACAAACCTGTCTCTGTATTACAGAAATGGATCCATGTCAGTACTCCACCTTCCCACTACTCCCCTGCATCATATTTTGTCTAAGGAAGCCACTTATTAAGGAATAAGTTGAAAACTAAAATAATACATGATTTATTGCAGTTCAATACTAGAGTTGAAAGACGTATTTTAAGATTTAGGAAAAAAAACATTTGGGTCAGAAGGAACATTTCCCTGTAAGCTTCTTCAAAGAAACAACATGTTTGATTTTTAAAATGAGGATGGAAAAATACACATGAAAGAGTTAAGATCACTTCAAATTTTGAAATGGTAAACAACTAAACTGAACCTTGACCTAAGTTCTTACTTTAATCTAACAAATCCAGACAGTCAGCATGTTTGCTACAGAAACATATGCTGAATAGTTTCAGGAAATTTAAGGATGGACATTTCTTATCTAACATTGTAATTTGTAGTGAAGTAAACTGTAAGATTGCTGATGCAGTCTTAGAAAAAGGACATTAAAGAACTGAAAACTGTCAGTATGGAAGTAAAAATTATTTTTTGAAGTCACACCACCACTTAGAGCTCACTGTGGGAAAGTTTTTACAGTGGCGTTGCCCTCCAACACCACAACATATACAGCAGGCATGTTTACAATAAGAAAGACAGAAAGACAGAAAGAAAGCCAGCCAAAAAAGTCACATGCCTTATACAGAAATAATTGAG